CGTGAAGGACGATATGAAGTGGAATCACGGCCAGGAGAGCCCCGACCTTGGGAGATTGATGACGGGAGTAGACTGAAATCGCGGATGCCCAGAAGAATCCCGCCCGGGAGTCCTGAAGAAGAGAAGAAGGTGAACCAAAATCACGGACGTTCACTGACAATACCGCCGCGCTCTTGGCGAAAGGACTTCCTACTTCCTCGCAGGAAGAAATGATGACAAGCCAGAACGTAGAGTTGGCAGAAAGGAATCCTCAGCAGCTCACAGCCCTCCAGGTACGTGGCGAAATGCAAAACCCCAAGCCTCATCGTGGAAACACCAGAAAATTCAATTGTCGTTTACGCGTGTCGATGGACCCCTCCCCAAACGCCTAGCCAGCATGGTATCTTGCCCAGAATCACACACGAAAAAAGAAAACAACCACTAGTCTGCACTCATCCACTCCTGCAGATGGCAAGACTTGAGAAGAACGGAAGGAGAGAGAGAGACCGGCGACAAGCCTTTCCCTCAGCAAAAAGCCCCAAGTCCGTTCGTCATCGCCAGTTCCTCCGGCCTTCGTCCTGCTTCTCTCCACGATACCCGAAATCCGCTTCTTCCCAAGTCCGTTCTCCTCGCGTCGTCGCGCCTTGTCCGCACTTGGACTTGGTGAAAGAACCTCCAATGGGTGAGAGTCAGGTGACCGCTCTCATCGGTACTGAGGCGGAGCTTGGCCCCAACCCTGGGGAGGCTGACCATGCACTTGCGGGGGCGGCATTTGACCTCCGCCCTTCATGGCCGTGACGTCGGGGCGATTCTCAAGCGGCTGGGCAAAGTTGCAAATGTGGCAGACAACATCGGTGTAGCCCTTGAAGGACAGGGGTATAACGGGCTAGAATTGGTAGGTTAGCTTTGAATATCCCATCTTTAGTCTCACAAAGGTAGGCCAGTGACATGAAATGAGAGTTCGACAAGGGCTTGAATGAGAGGTACACATAAGAAGGCTCATCAAGACACGGAAAGAGCACGAATGAATGTGCAAAAAGACTCACAATCCAGCAGAATGTGAACCAAGGGTGGCTCTTGATGACATGGCCAGACATGTTACCGCAGTTGTAACACTGGCAGACCATACCCTCGTAGCCCTCGACAGGCTTACGGAAGGTGTGCTCTCCGCACACGAAGAAGAAGAACATTGTGACGATTGATCAGACGTATGCACGCTCAGTTGCTGTAGCTGCAGGTCGGGAAGCAGCGGTGGCGGGCGGCGGCTGGGTTTGGGCGACTTTTCCGTCGGATGATGGCGGTAAGACTTCCTCCGCCCCGGCGTATCGCGCTCAGGTGGGCTAGTAGCGAAATTTGGAGGAGCGAGACAGAGACAGCTCTGTAGATCTGTCGGCCAGTGTTTCCTCGAGCTGCGTGGCCTGGGTAAGCGACGACTTTGTTGGATGTCGGAGGTTGCGCCGGGAGTTGAAGGAAGAAAGGACCGTTGGACGCGGAAGGAACAGTTGACGTTGGCGGAGGAGTGGATGTCCTTAAACGGAAGAAAAGGACAGGCCACTCATACCTTGAGGTACCTTAAGGCAATAAATGTAGGTAAGCAACCCAATCCAATGAACGCGAGAGAGCTACGTTAAGCTGTACGGTGTGATGTATCCTAGGCTAGCCTCTGGCTTTGCTTGCCGAGATGCAGGAATCCCAATTTCTGATAGGTTCCCGACAAACCAACAAGAACCAGAGGGCAAAAGGTTTAGAAGGTGGCCCAAGCTTAAGAGGGAATTTGATTGATGGCTGGCGGGTGAGGAGAGCAAATGAGGGACGAACGACGTTCTTGCTAGCTTTGGTGTCACGGGTGTGTGCCAGTCTTGCGTGTCCCCTCGAGGCGGTGCATCCTTGGCGATCCAGCCAGTAGCCTCAAAGTTGACGGCGTTGTACCGACATTCACCCACATCTCCCTGAACGAACCTTTGAGCCGTGGGAGAGTTACGGATGAGGTAGTTCAGAACTCCAGAGACCTTATTCCCGAGACACATACTCAGGGGAACTATGGGGTGCATGACAGGAGACCTGTCGTCCGTCTGATAACTCGACGACTGCAGTAACGCTTCTTAAATCCCTTTATGCCCTTTAATGCAGTTCCTTCGGGTAATTTTATCGCGTGGAATGGAACTTCATGCCCCCAAAGTTGCGAGGTTCCTCCCCGTTGGGCACCTCTCAGCTGCCCATTTCAGCCAATTCGCCTGGCGGGCTGAAAAGTCTAGGATCATCCGTGGATGCCGCTGCAGTCCAGGTTTTTTGCTGGCGACCAAAAGGGGGAAGGGGAAAGCTCACTGCGCCATTCCATTATTACGTGGAAACTGTGTTATCTGCCATGTGCAACCCTATTTACTGCATTTGAACGCAAACCTTGACAGTTGCCATCACCAGTACCGTCCATCAGGGCTCTCTTAGAAAGAAACCTAGAGGACAGGAGGCTACAGCTGCGAAGGAGGCAGCCTGCCAAACCAACGAGGGCGATCTTCTTACAGGGCATGTCATCGCCTCCACTCCAGTCCGATGTTTCCGCACCCCGTTCTTCCCGCCGTTACCTCCGGCCAAAAAGCGCCCGACCGCCAGTGACACCTCAGTTAGTGGCTTGAAGTGGGAAAAGGTCACCTAAAAGGCTAAGGTAAGCAAAGATGTGTCTAGCGCCATGCAAGCCACTTTAGGCCCCACGTTCCTTAAAGTCAACCTACACAGTAACCTTTCTGCCTGTGTGGGTGCGTCATCCCAGCACCAGAACCGAACCCCGCGGAACCAACCTAACACCGACCTCCGTCTTCAGTCCAGAAAATTTCGGCGACGCGCTGTACCACGAGAGTCAACCTCGAAGCCAAGAAGGTTGCGACATCAATTCGACCAGCAGCAACGTCGTGAGGTCGATCCCTCTGCTCTAACCCCCGATTGATCACTACGATATCATCTCAAGAAAGATACTGTGCACGAAATCGGCGCCGAGCCCAGGACAAACACCGGATCACACCAAGAAATCAGTCACCGCAAGCTCCTATGCGCCAAACCCCACGATAGCTTCATCGAAATTCTCCCAACCAACCCAAAATGCTCTACGACCTCAACATCCCGTGGTCCCCAACCACATCCCCCGCCGACCTCGCCCGCACAATCTCCTTCGCCTCCTCCCTAGGCTACACAGTCCTCGCCCTCAACCACACAATAACGCCCCCGATCCCTTCGCAAATCACAAACCCCCTACCAAAGTTCCCATCACCCTCAACAACAGCAACACCACCACCGCCAACAGGGACCCCATCACAACCCTCCCAACAACAACAAAAAAACAAACAACCAACAATCCTCCACCGCGCAACAGTAACCCTCTCAGACCCCTCCCAAAACTACCGCCTCCCAACCCTCGCCCTAGCCTACGACATCCTCGCCGTCCGGCCCACCACAGAAAAGGCCTTCCAGGCAGCCTGCCTCTCCATGGCCGAGCCCTCCCTCATCTCCCTCGACCTGACGCAGCACTACCCCTTCCACTTCCGCCCGAAACCCCTCATGGCCGCCGTCGCCCGCGGCGTCAAGTTCGAAGTCTGCTACGCCCAGGTCCTCGCTTCTTCTTCGTCCACCTCTTCTTCCGCCTCTGGCGGAGGCATCGGCCCCCCGCCCGACGCGAGAGCCCGCGCGACGTTCATCTCAAACTTTGCCTCCCTCGTCCGCGCGACAAAGGGCCGCGGCATCGTCGTCTCCAGCGAGGCGCGCGGCGCGCTGGGGTTGAGGGCGCCCAATGACGTTGTCAACTTGCTCGCTGTGTGGGGATTGGGCAGCGAAAGGGGCACCGAGGCGTTGGGAGTCAACCCGCGTGGCGTCGTGGTGAACGAAGGGATCAAGAGGAGTGGATTCCGGGGCGTCGTGAACGTGCTCGAGGTCGGAGGGCGGGAGAGCGATGTGAAGAAGAATCAGCAGCAGGGGCAGGGGCAGCAGCAGGGGAAGAAGGGCAAGAAGCAACAAGGCGGCGGTGCAGGTGGTGGTGGTGGTGGTGACAAGGGCAATGCGCAGAAGCGCAAGACGCCTGATGAGGGTGGTGATGGCGCGCAACCTACGGTCAGCAAGAGGCAGGCCAAGAAGTTGCGGCTAGCTCTCAAGGAACAGGAAAAGGAGGCTTCATAGATGCTTGGGTCAAGAACGGAAAGAAAAGAGGACCAGAAGAAAAGGGCGTAAGAATGGTATGGGTAGATATTGGGTTGGGCGGAAGTCATTTACGCTTTATGATACCCCTTAGAAGAGAGCATCATTGAACCTCTGTATACCTCTGTATCAGGATATCGATATTTTCCACAAGTTGATGACGGTGACGCTAGATTCACCAATGTAAAGAGCAGTCATTTATCCCTCACACAGCATAAGAGACGCGTTATGAAACTTGACCGTCTTCTTTCCAATGCAATCGTATATAGGTTTGGGGAAAGGGGTCTAGGTGGGTGCAAGTGTTTTGGTGTTGCCTTTTTGTTTTTCGATGTCTTCAAGAAATGAATTATGTACAACCGCGGGGGGGATATGTGTGTAAGTTGGCTCAACTTCTCCAACTCCCTCTCCATCTTCCCATTACACACGCCACACCATGTGGAAGCTTTCCAGAAAACGAACCTCATCGCACGCGCGCAACAGGTCAAGACGTGTGGTCGTAATGAGAGTGAAGGGTGGGGTTTGTCTGACGCTGCCTCCTTTTTCCACCTTCCTCGGTATATACCACCATGCCAAACCGAGACCTCTTCTTCCCCTATTTCACCATTAAAAACCCCTTCCTTTCCAACCAACTTCCCCCTCATTCCAAGAATCGAAAAATCTAGGGTATTTCGTATGCCGTTGCTGAACCACTTTCAAGTCATCAACGACGTTGCCTAGGTACGTCTTATGCATACGCAGTATATGCAACTCAACCTCCCTCCCTGGCTACCACCTCACAGTCCGATTAAAACCCTTCCACAGCACTTGCATGTCGATCAGAGAGTTCGACGAGTAGTCGGTCCTTAAGCTGGGGGCGTCGCACGAGCCTGGAGTTGGGCAGTCGCCTGCAAGAGATTGCCGAGCTGAAGAGACCTTGTCAATGCAAGGCCGCTGACGGCGACCTGGGGTTGAGCGGGGTTCGCGGCGATCGGAGCGACGGGCGTTGCTGCAGCGGGCTGGTTGGCAGCGCCGTTGCCGTTGAGGCCGCCAAGGTTGACGGAGGCGGACGGCTTGCTGACAGCGGGCGCGTTGCCCACGAGGGGGGCAGCCGGGGGTTGAGGGGCAGCGGGAGCCGGAGCAGGTTCTATCCATGCATTGTCAGCCTATTCTCGAACCTGTCTTGGATCGTTCACTAGTAGAATGCCACTTACGAGCTGCTGCGGGAGGCGGGGTGGCCGCAGGAGCCGCCGCAGGGGGCGGGTTCGATTTCAAGCCAGCGAATGGATCTGTCGGAGGAGGTCCCGGAATGACCAGAGGCGCCTTCGATGCCGCAGGAGCAGCTGGCGGTGCTGCGGGGGCCGGAGCAGCAGGCTGGGCCGCAGGAGGAGCAGCTGGGGGAGCAGCCGGAGGCGGAGGCGGAGCAGCAGCGGGCGGCGTTTGCGTGACCAACTGCGTGATGATCTGTGGAGGCCTATATGATATGTTGGTCAGTGGTCTCATCCCATCATATTGAATAGTCCAGCGTTCGCTAGGTCGAGAAAGCTTACGGAGGAGCCTGCGTAACGAAGACCGTCAACGGCGCAGGTACTGAGGCATTCTGGTAGATCGTCTTCGTGACAGTGACCGGCGGCGGCGCTGGAGGAGCTGGAGGACAAGCGTTGTTCGGCTTATTGCGGTTGCCCTGGTTGTTTCTGCTGCCACCGTTGAGAGCGTCCAAGATGCCGGCGATGAGGTTGCCCTGTCCCGATCCTCCTCCATTCGCTCCCTTGTTCAGAGATCCAGCATTTCCAAGGTTCACCGTCTTCACTTCAACCGCGCCCGCGTTGGCACCCTCTACGTTGACGTTTCCGCTTCCATCGATGTTGATGTTTTGTCTCTTGTCGACAGCCGCGCCCTGCTTTCTCGTCAACCCAAATTCATCACCACCCTCGACGAAGTTGTCCCGCGGTATGTTGAGTGAACGCACCTGAGCGATTGATGTTAGAGTTGCCACGGCGAAGAGTAGACTATGCCTCATCGTGGGCTCGGGGGCGAAAGCTGGAGACCTTCGAGTGTCGCCAGCGTTTCTCGGTTTCGATCTTTTCCACTATTCGTATCCTTCTTTTTCACTATTTGCTTTTTCAAAGAGCGAGTTCAACAGGCCAGCCGTCGGTGAGTTCGTTGGGATCAACCCTAGGATCGAAAAGAGTGTAGTGGTTTGTGGAGTGTTCCGTAAACCTTCGCGATTACGAAAGGAAAGAGTTACGGGCAGACAGACAGCGACCTGCAGAACATGTCCAGAGTTCAATGAGATAAGACGGCCAAGACCCCTCGAGTAGTGAGAGTGATCGAGAGGGTGTGCGGGTACTAAGAAAAGACGAGAGATGTGACCAGAAATGGGTCTGAGGGGGGGTGTGAGGACAAGAGAATGTGAGAGGTGTGAATCTTGGTCAGAGACTGAATGCCGTATTTTCCGTGTCTTTCCCGCCAGGAACAGGCACGCACACACGCAGAGAGTTTGGGTAAGGAGAGCGAGAAGTAAAGGAAAGATGGGACGAAGCACCATCAAACCACAAGAACAGTCGAGCCTTGAGTTGCGGGAGCTGCAAAGATTAATCGAAAAGGGGACCACCGTCGAGAATCACGAATTGGCCCATGTCAATGCCCAGCCATGCACCATCAGATTGGCTCTTCGGCGCACCGGATGCCAAAATGCTTGCCAATGCTTGGCCATGGCTAGCCGGGGTGGGCTTCGCCGCTTCATGGTGGACGAGCAGCCAGACAGGGCAAAAAGAAGCTGGATGGGGGCCTAGAACTGGTACGATGGACGTCTTGTCGAAGGCGACAAGTCTTCTGATTTGACTGAATCGACTCTCGATGGAGCAAGGGAGACCAGGGTTTCTGTCAGGAACACTGCAGACTCGATCAGTGCGGTTCAGGGCGGCCAAGAAACGCCAGGGGCCCGCTCCCCGCCATGCTGCATGCCCGCCAACGCAGTATGGCTCACCCCATCCATGTCCAACATTGTCGGGTCGGGCTAGGGATCGTGAAAAGGTCGATCGGAGATGGAGGCCGTGTGAAGCAAGGCGTCGTGGAGCCGCTGCAGAAGGGTCCGGGAGGGCGTCAAGAGAGGTTAGACACTGTTTAACTCCATCGTTTTACATTACTAGAGGATTACCGCAGTACATATAGACGCTACCCTACCCTCGAATTCTGCACTATTTAACCTCAATCCTTTTTATAAATTACCTATCCTTTCCTCTATTTTACCTTCTCCTTTATTAAAAGATTATTAAAATTATAATTTTAATAGCTTATTAATAAGTTAATATTATTATTTAAAAATAAGTAACTTACTTTTATATATAAGTATTAAGAATCTTATTATTATAAAAATAATAATAAATATACTAAAGTATTTAAAAAAGCTTTTTAATAAACTTTTAATATTATTTAAAATAATTATTTTTAAACTATAAAAAAAAGCTAAAGTACTATATTAATATAGCCTTATTTATTTTATTAATATTAATAATACCCTTTTTAATATAAAATATATTAATAATACTCTATAATTACGTTACTATATTTTATAAATTATACTTAATATTAATAAAGTTTTTAATATTATTTATTAAATATTTTATTAAAATTATTATTATAAAGTTAATTTAGTTATTAATATTTTAATAAGTATTTTAATTTAATTTAAAAGCTCTTATAGCTCTTAAAGAGAGGTTTTTAAAAAACTTATAATTAAACTTTTTACTTATTACGAATAAAGCTATTATAATTAAAACTATAGCGTTACGAACCTTAATAATAAGTAGTTAATAATATAATTATTTTTTTTATAATAAGTTTAAAAAAACATCTTAATTTAAGTACTAAGTAAGTACTATACTATTTTATTAAAACTATATTCTTATACTTATAACTTAAAAAGAATTAACTTTCTTCGATAACAAGGTACTTAGAGAGAGGTTAGAAGCATTCCAATCATTCCACGGCGCTGGCGAGGAAGAACCCTGGGCTGGGCTTGCTGGGGCTCAAGGGTGTGAGACATGCCCCAGACGAAGACCGTCTGAGACGGGGGGCACAGTGACAGAGCCACCAGAGTCACCCCAAACTCGCGCCAGGGCTCCGAAACTGTGAGAGCGCCAGACCTGCGAGCCACACCCTTCGGCCACTAGCCCAAGTAACAGCCAACGCAAGCCAACGCTAGCTTCTAGAGGGCAACTGCAACGATGAACCGTCGAGACTCGACCTCGACGATGGTCCATCCCATCCCATTGTGTCTGTGTCCGTGATGTGTGACGTGATGCTAGTTTGATGAGGAAGCCATGCGAGGGGCGGACATGATGCGAAAGACCGATGGCGGCTTCAAAATCTCGGTGGCCACGGGTGCCATAGGTATCCCACTCCATGATCCATCCCGAGCCCTCATCCCTCCACTGTCCAGTACACTACGTCTTGAATCTGTACGGATACACCAGCAACGAGGTATCCGTAGATGGGTGAAACAATGTTTCCCACGGGTATGCGGGAAATTCTTTTTGGCTTTCGTTCGATCCCAGCATATCGCCATCAACGACGTTGCCGCTACTGCTGGAACTGCTGCAAACGGCTTCTTTGACTCGTGTTCGTGGTGACGATCGTTGAAAATAGAACCCGCATCGCAATCACAAAAAACTCTCATTTCGTTTCCCCAGACTCTCCAAGGGCCCAGGCGGCTACCGCTGCACGAAATGCATTGCGACTGGTGGGCTTGGGAGAGGTCGTCGGGTCGGGGCCCACGACAAAACAAAAAGGTGTCAGCGCTTCATCGACACTTGGACAGGCGGGACGCACGCATCCACCTTGCCTCGCACCCACGTGATGATCAACAGCGTGGGATGGGCCTTTCAGATGGAGCATCCAGTACAGGTCGATGACAGGCGAGGTGGTCGGCGCCCATCTCTTGCTCTTGCTCTCGCTACGTGGCGAAATAGAGGGGCCAAAGACGAAAAGAAGCGCGGATACGGATGCAGATGCAGTTTTCGTAGGATGCGCGGCATTTGTGGATGACTGATGAGTGATGAGCCCATGGATGTCTTCGTCTCAACTTGCCTTTTTTCCGCATCGTCCCTTCGGACAGTAGGATGAGCCCATCGCCGAGACAGCTTCTGTCGCCAAACACGTTGCGCTTGCGTACGCAGTACAGTAAGGTAGTATCTGTAGACTAGAGCAGGCTCTTTCTCTTGCTGGAAGAAGGGAAAACGGCATTGAGACAACGAGGGTCGTCCCAAGGCGAGGAGAAAATGAACACCTTTGCTATAATCATGAGCTTTTCGTGCCTCAAGTGGCTGGGGCGACATGCGTGCTGAAGCAATGGGTCAAACGAGCGAGAGCCCGGGCGGCACGTTTGATGACATGCAGATAATGTGCGTTCTGGTGCATGCTGCAGGCGATGAACGTGCCACGGGCCAGAAGAAGACCAGGACCGTCATTAGCGGTTGGCGATGGTGATACCGGCCCAGATAATAAGACGTTTTGATGAGAAATAATAAAAGACCTCTCTCCGACGTCGTGGGTGAGGTGAGTCTGTGTTGCTTTCCTGCTCGGGAACGGAATAAGGAACTGAGAGATGGCCACCTAGGTATCTCAGGACAATGGTCCCGGAACGGCAGTTGGTGTCGAGACGAGCGCTTCCCGAAGCACCGAGTTCATGTGCAGCAGTCGCAGTGAAGGTTAATGCGACTGTGCACCGACCTGAATGAGGAAGGGGGCCCCAAGACACTGTGATACATGATACCTTAGACAAACGCCCCCTTCCGACCTGTTGCTTCAATAGGATGTTGCGGTTAAGTCCAGGGATCAGCATGTCATGATCGGGAGACGGGGACGCCAGTCTCGTTCGTTTCACTCAATTCAGTGGGTAAGAGAGCCTTACAACGGTCCGAGTGCATGCTGATGTAATTCAGCCCATCCCCTCCTGCACGCAATGTGGCGGCGGCAGCTCCGAACAAGCTTAAAGACGGCGGCTATAGCCCATGGCTAATACGTATGTCTGCATTGTGGCTAGAGAATCTCGGATCTCCCTTAGGTAATGTGGCTGGTAGAGGTCTCGTACCTCCCAACGTGGCTAGAACGTGGCTAGAGACCTACATAGCAACCGGTCCTCGGTGGCCCTGCAAGTCCGATCGATGCCATAGTTCAATGTACCATCATCATACTAATTGGCCTGCATCGGAACACGGGCTCTTTCAAAGCTGAGCCAAAGCAGTGGGCCTACAGAAGTCAATGACGACAGTGTAATCCTTCTTCAACCACCAGTTGAGGCTAAGCAATGTGCAGCTACGATCATCGGGAGATTTTTTTGACGTCGTCTTCCATAGCTTCCGAAGCCCGTGATGGTGATGATAAGTTGGTTTAAGCCAGCTTGCTAAACACTCGCGTTTCTTCACATTTCTCATCCAGGCTCATCTTACAGCACCGGCGACTGTGGCCCCCGTGTGTTTCAACAAATTTCCAAGCGTCTCAGACTCTAGATCGCAGCCACAGAACAACAACAATAACTCGCATTCAAACGACACACAGAGATAGAAGGCAGCCCAAGATGGCGGTTGTACACGTCCTTGACGACTACTATCTAGCCATCACGGCTCTCATTACAGTAGCATACCAATTATTCTTCTTTTCAATAGCCTTTAGCTTCAAGTTTGACAAGCTCACCGGTAAGACCAATCCACACCCGGCCCTTCAAGGCTCATTCGATAAATCCACCAACTCACTCTACAAATGAACAATGAACATCAAAACTAACATCTCTCACAGACTTTGCCGGCGGCACAAATTTCGTCGTCCTGGCCATAATCACCCTCGCCATCAGCGGCCACAACCATGCGCGCCAAATCGTCGCCTCTATCTTCATCATGCTCTGGGGCGCCCGCCTCTCGGCCTTCCTCCTCTTCCGCATCCTCAAGACGGGCAAGGACGACCGCTTCGACGACAAGCGCGACAAGTTCTTCCCCTTTCTTGGCTTCTGGATCTTCCAGATGATCTGGGTCTGGACCGTCTCCCTGCCCGTTACCGTGCTTAACTCGCCCAACGTCACGCGCTACCCGCAGCACGACTTTGGTACCGGTCGCGACATTGTCGGCGTCATCTTCTTCGTCGTCGGCTTCGTCATGGAGTCGGTCAGCGACGCGCAAAAGTACGTCTTCCGCAGGGACAACCCGAACCGCGAGGCCATTTGCGACAAGGGCTTCTTCAAGCTCTCGAGGCACCCCAATTATTTCGGCGAAATCATTATTCAGTTCGGTAAGTTCACACCGCCACTCAATGCCAAGTGATACCACCTCACACAATGCCAATCTTCTCCCCCCATGCTTTGTCAGCGCAACGAAGTAAACCAAAACCAAGTCATGAGAGAGTCCTTGGCTAACACAGCATCCAACGTCTAGGCATCTACATGATCGCCGTCTCGGCAGCCGCCGACGGCTACGTGGGCGGCCAAGCCTTCAAGGCACTCTACGCCACCATTCTCGGCCCCTTCTTCCTGACGCTGCTCCTCATGTTCGTCTCGGGCCTGACTCTCCAGGAGCGTCCCGGCGCCAAGAAGCGCTACGAGAAGAACCAGAACTGGGAGGGCTATAAGCGCTACCTCGAGCGCACCAGCATCCTCATCCCCTTCCCGCCGCAGCTGTACGTCCGCATGCCGACGTTCCTCAAGCGCACCGTCTTCCTCGAGTTCCCCATGTACGTCTTCGACCCGGCCAAGCACTCCGACGCCGGGGCGCGCGCTGAGGAGGGCCAGCAGCACCAGCATGAGTCCGTTGCCAAGCCCGCGCACGGGAATGGAAGGCCGAGTGGTGAGGAGTCTCTCGTCGGACAGCGTTCGTGAGTTCTGCGAATGCCGAGGAATTAATTTGGGAAGAGAGCAGGCATATTGATGGTTTTTAAGTTTCCATGTTTTGACGGCATTACGGCTTAGATGACTCTTTCTCATAGCATTCCAATTTTGGGGGATATCATAGAACCGACTAATACTACCTTCACCACCCCCAAGTTTATTAATTGTCCCAACCAAAGTACCTCTAGTGACCAGACACAAGCAAACATCATTCCCAGCACTCGTCCGACGTGACACACGCCAGTCGTATCGCTCACATCAGTGAACAATGGCCTTCAGCGTCGTCCCGCTCAGCTCACACCGCCCGTCAACCGATACCGCATCTGCCAGCGTGCCTCCGCTCCCTCGCAGGTCCGTCGGCTGATCGAGCGCCTCTTGTTGGTCGCCGTAGTCGGTATACTCTGCTTCCTCGCTGTGGTTCTCCGCGCCTTCGGGGATCGGCACCATGGCGTTCTTAGTCCAGATGTGGACGGCCGTCTTCCAGTCCAAGCCGTCGATGCAGCCGCCCTTTACGGAGACGACGTTCTTATCCTAGGTGGTGACCGAGCATTCAGTCTGCGTTCGTTTTGGGAGCCTGTTTCTGGTGTTGCGGAAGGACATACCGGTGTTGCGTGGATTAGTCTGGTTCCGCAGTTGCGGCAAAAGTAGCTGTCACATAACTGTCAGTTCATAGATCCCAGATTTCTGTAAGGGAGGGTGTCTGCTCACCAGTAGAGCGTGGCGCCGGACGCAGTTGGCCTCCTATTTGCCCATAAGTCAGTAAGGATTTCTATATTTCCTTCACAACTCGCAACTCTCTCACTCTCACTCTCACGCTTCACAACCCCCTCCCACACCTACGGCTCGAACGAGTGCGCCTTTCTTCTCTTCCTGCTCCGTGTGTATAATACTCACGCGTAGACACCCATCAGATCAGCCTTTGGTAGCTTAAATTTGGGGAAGATTGCAGACGTCCCGAACGCGGAACCCGTTTGCCTTTTACTAGAAACCAAAAACGGCTCAAGTCAGCATGACTGCGGCCACTAATCGGCGAAGGAGAGTATGAGAGTTGTTGAACGTGCCATTCTTCACAATGGCATATATAGAGGCGGAGAGGTTGCGGCAGCGGCGTCTTGAAGGACACGGCTCCGCATTGGCATCGGGCGTCCATCTTGGGTAGGTCGGAGTTGAAAGTTGCGTAGTACAGTTGAGGTACTCCGTAGTGCGTGAGCGGGTCAATGGTGATAGCGGCAGTGTGACGTCAGATTGTCCCTTCAAATGCCGAGTGAGATCTCAACTAGAAGGTTGGCAATCCTTTCAGGTACCGAGGACGTCTAGTAGGCCGGCTTCCAGTCAAGACTCAAATGGAATAAGACTAGGGAAAAGAGAGTAGATCCAAAGTCCCACGTGTAAGTGTTGTAAGGAGAAACCAATTCCTCAGGATGATGGGTGAGGAGTCAGCAATCAAGTTCGTCCGAAAGGGGAATCCTCCCGTCTTTTATGTACCTAGTGACTCCCCCCCAAAAACCACATGACACACACAGCTAATGCATGCAAAACGACTACGGCCTATCTACGCAGACACCGATTCCTCTCTACGAACAACCCGACGTCGGGGTGGGAAATACAACTCAACACGCGTCTCAGCGCGATATCGAAAGCATGCAAGGACACTAATTGCTGCGACTTGCAGCGGTGACCGGGGTTGGGAGGAGGGACGTGAGTCACGGCCGGGGTGGTGTGGGAGAGAGGAGGGGAGTGCGGGGCGGGCTGAGGCGGATGGTCGGGGGACGAGACAGGCTTTTGGAGCGAGACTGGCGCGAAGTCACATGGTTAGCGGCCCTGCTTGACCGGGTTTTGTTGCGGAGCTATCCGTATTTCGCGAGATAGATACTCCAAAAGTACTAACATGCCTTCGGCTTCGGGTTAGGTTGAAAGTTGACTCAGAATTTCGGGGTTATATTCGCGGAACAAAAAGCAGTTGAGCGTGTTGGGTTGCAACCGCACATAGGTAGGAGCCGCCTCGATGCTCAACTGTACAATTGACTCTCTTGGGCTCAACGACCAAGGAGTACGCCGGCTCCATTAGATGGATATGGGAGACTTCAGAAAGAAGGAGGAATGCTAAATGTATATTCTGCGTGTAGTACCTCAGAACAGCATTCGTTGTTCAAGACGTCAAAGAGTCAGAAAGTAGATGAACTACAGAGAGCCACTGACCGCCTTGCTCCGATTGGCCAATGTCTCGCGAACAGTTCCTTGCACACTGGCGGGACCTTTCCGCGCTGAGTGGATGTCCATTTCGACGTCACATCACTCATCCCAGTCGAACTAAACATTGAACCGCACTGAGCCGCGACAGAAGAAATCAGTTTGCAATGTATCAGGGTCTGATTACCTTTCTATCTGATCTGAGTCATTAGGAGCCCTTCCTTGATCAACGTCTAACGGTCTAGAGCCTCGTCAGCTCGCACGCCCGTGGGTATCTCTCTCTATAACTTTTCCGGGCTCCGAGACGATTTTGAAATCTCCAATCTATCCGTATCATCCAGGGCAGGTCCACCGACGTCGTTGCAAATATCCGTGGTCGAGTATCAGCTGCGACTAGTAGACAACCAAGATGATAGGTCTAGTGGCTCGCCCATGTATAGCGAGGTCAACCCAAATCCCGAATCTCCCCAATAGAAAACCCCCATGGCCGTAAATTCAATCCATCGTATCCCATAGCCCCGTGAATGCTTTGCTGCTGAACAGTCGAATAGTTGGCAGGTCGAATGAAGTCGATGACAAGGCCCAAGCGGTAGATCCGGTTCCCAAAGAAGATCCAGTTCCTCCACAGAGTCTTTGTTCATCAACTTGGCAATGCGCCCACAAGCAAACTTGATTTAGCAAGACAGGCCACGGTCGCGGGTCATGACCTTCTTCTGACGAGGGCCGGCCATTTTCATATTACGGGCTGGGAGGAACGGCTTGTACTTCTTGTCGAAGACACCGCCGGGAACCCACTCCTCCTCGGTGTGGAGACGGCTCCAGATGGCGTTGAGCTTGGTATTGTTCTCAACATCGATGCCAAGGAAGTCGACGCTGTCGCGTCTGTCGGGAGTGATGAGGATGGTGATCATCTTGGGTCCATCGATGAAGAGGAAGATCAGGATGCGGATGATGGCGACAGATAAGTAGCCAATGAGGAGGGCAATGGGCTTGACAACCATCCAAACAGTACCCTTAATGATATCGGCGACAGTCGGGTTCATCGACATCAAGAAGAGAGTGATGAGGATAAGAACCGGAATGCGGACCTCAGGAGACCAAGCAGTAGAATAGTCAATGCTGAACTCAGGGCAATGGGGATGGAAGCGACCGCGCATAATGTGACCGTTCATTTTCACTGCAAATGGTAAGTATTTGTTCAAAGTTCAGGATTTCTTCTGGTTTTAACTTACCAGATATTCTGTGAGTAGTTGACGTGAATGTAAGGTTCTCGCGATGTTCTTTGAGGGGAATGTATGTGATCTCTTTGACGAGAACACAGGAATCTGTGACCTTGTTAGCGACCCCTCATATCCAGGAATGCCACTTTTGTCGTACTAGGGAATATGGCCTTGACAAGAAATTCCTTCGTCGTCAATCGACCTAAGCAGCGCCTGAAAGTCGCAAGTAGGAGCGGTCGGTATCCTGTAAGGTGAGGATATTGTGTAATATTGCAAGTAGGCAATGCGTACAAGAAGATGATGCTTGAGGAGTAAAGCCGAGGGTCCAAGAGAAGGGGAAGGGCGGGAGGTGGAGTGGGAAGAGGAATCTCTTGGTAGCAGGCGACTGGCTGCTTTGGTGAGAGAAAAAGAAGAAAAAGAAGAGTAGTTGGATTTCCTTCGAAGTGGGCAAGGAAACAAGAAGGTGAGGCCGGCCGGGTCAACTTCAGATGGAAAGACGGCAGGAGCAAACAATAGCACCTACCTTTGGTCTTGGACAGTGAATATCGGGTCTTGCCTCATTCACCTTTTCAGGAGGAGCCTGAGGTATTCATAACAATGGAAATCCCATTCCTAATGACCATAACCCTGACTGTACATTGCCTGATGCCATACTCCCAGTTGCATCCCCAGAACGCCAGGCGCTTCATCCCGTGGTCACTTATTCATTCGACTCTATCTTCGTCTTTCCATCCCATGGACCAAAAGCTGCTCTCCTCTTTCGTCATTCGTGGCTTGGACTTTGAGTGTCAGTAGCCAACAGCCATCACCCTGAAAGCCATATATCCCAGTCTATGCTTGAGTAATACTCAGCAGGGAGCTCAACACTGCGCAGTGCCATCAAAGACTTGCCTTTTCGACCCATTATCCTCCTCGAGCTTCTCAACACACCTCACCACGACGAGGCTGTCCTCCCCCTCCTTACCGACGTTGAGCATCTTCCCAAGCTCAGCACACCACTCGAGCTTTTCCCCATCGCCCCAATCCAGCACCGAAAGCTCGACCTCCAGCCTTCTCAACGCCCTCAGCTTTCGCAGCCCTTCCTCGATCCATTCTGGCCTGGGGTCGGGCCGTGTCGTCTTGGAGCCCAGCCCCATGGCCTGGGCCTCTGCATTGTTCTTCAGCGCGGAAAAGGGGGCAGTGGGTTCGAATATCCCACCTCCTATCAGGACCTTGAGCCTCAGCCCCCGCAGCCCGAAGGACCAATGCTCACACAACTCAATCCACTCCTTCAGCGCTGGGCCCGTAAAGTCCCGCCCGAGCATCTCGAGCCTCGCCCACCGCATCTCATCCCGCTGCCATGGCCGCAGACCGCGCGTGAAGGCCCGCGCAGCCCAAAGTCCTGAGGAGAACCAGTTGACAAAGACGAACTCGTTCGTGTGGAAGGGGTAGGACCGGCACTCGTTGTAAATTTGCCTATTGGTCTCCAGGAGCGCCGAGGGGATACCAGAGATTGGACGGTTCGGTGATAGCAGCGATGGCTCTTCGGACTTTTGGTCTCTGTCGGAATTGTCCTCTTCTCCTGCAGGTTGGCCGATGGCTTTCACAATTTTCCCTGGTACGGCACAATCCTCAGTTTCCACTCCGGGGGGGTTGACGGGCCTCAAGAAGTACGCACTATGTATTGGATTCGGATACCACGGCGCGAGCTGCGCGTGCTCTACTGGATGTGCCACGTGGACCCAGCCGTATATCTGGAGGCGGACTTCAAGGGGCAGGCCGAGGAGATGCAACTCGTTCTTCGACACATCCATGGCGGCGGTAGTAGTCTCACCTGGGATTGCGAATGTGGTTTGTATTACCGAGGCGAATGAAGCGACGTCCAGTTGGCCATCCGCGGGTTCTTGGACAAGGTGAGAATCGACGAGATCCAGGGTCCAGCAAGTATAAGTGGCTTCAAGCGGGGACCGTGGTTGTCGGGGCCTAGATGGTTCAGTAATCACAGTCGCGAGATGTTGTGATAGTTATCACGGAATCTCAGTGGGCTTTCGGAAAACGATAGATAAGCTTAAACAATCGAAACAAGGCAATGAGCGCGCCTGTACAACATATACTACGACCACCACTGAGTCTCACTCATCGCCCAAACCAGCTACCCAGCAGAGAAACGTCAGGGCTGGGCCGGAGTCCAGCGTTTGGAGCTCCCCAATGGCTCCAGCGACCGTCGTAAGCCAGCCATGTAAAAGAGGGGGAAACCAGGCCCATTGGCCCGCTGGATCAGGATCGGATTCCTTAATGGGCAGAACGAGTGAAGGACAGGTAAGCTGACACTTGCAGCAGTAGCAGTACGCACGCAACGCGAAGAGGAAAGCAACCAACAGCACAAAGGAAAGCCGGGGTGCTACCCCCGATACAGACGAGCCAAGCCAGACCGAGAGCAGACCCAACCCCCCCTGGCCAGGTCTTACATCCAACCTTGGCGAGATGTCAGCCCTACTAACATCCATCCGCTATATACTAATCGAACGCCATGGTTGGTGATCTTACGATACGGAGTGGCGGCAAGAGGAGAAAGGCTTAAAGCACATGACTGCGGGGCACTCGACATAATCCATGCTCGCACTCGCTCGCAACTTTTCGTAAGTTCTCCGTTCCAGGGGAAGAAAAGAGAACGGTCGTTCAAGCATACCTAGGCAAGCTAGGTAGCTTCTCCCCGGCCCCTCTTTACTTCCTCTCCTCCTCGGATGACTCCCCCCACTTTCAAGGGATGAACCCGGCCGGCGGCTCCAACCAAAACCAACATACCACCCACAGAATTCAGGCCGATCTTCCGCGAACAACAACCCCTTCCGAGACAACAAGCTTCCACATCGGTCAAAACAGAAACCACTGGTGTCGAGATGTTCGGAGAACATAGGGGGGAGTTACCTCTTAAACCTCACCGCAAAATCAGTTTCCAGACTTCTGTACAGTACGAGAAACTCAAAGCATAGCGCCCTCCCCGCACCGGTTCGTCCGCGCCGCCGTCGCACTGGTGTCCGCCACGTGGAGAAGCCCGTTGCTCAGCTTGACGATAGTGGCATCGTAGTGAGTGTCATGTGCCAGACCTATTAACCTTTTTGCTCGTACTCAGAGCCAAAAAACCTCGGGGTCCGCCAAAGACGCCGCACCTTTCACCCATATACTCATACCTACATCCTTCACTAATAGACTACACGTGTATTATAAGATTGGGTTTCATGCCTCGCGAAGGGGCACTTTTAGCATTAGCTATACTTTGAAAGGGGCTATCCTATCTTTGTTCATCGAAAACGTCCTCAACAACCTCTCCCCTCTCGCCCACTATCCTGAATTACATAGCCAGGAGTGTATGTGTTGGGCGAGCAGCAGCCTAGCAGGTCTCCCAAGGACCCTCCTTTTCCGAATTCTTTCTTCGACTTCATTCGCGTGACGTTAAAACAACAGGAAAACCCACCTCCTCCGGTCAAAATCTCCTCGAATTTCCATTCTCTCATGCTTCGCGTGCAAAACTCCTCGAGCAAAATTAAACGCCCCAAGGCTGTAGAGACCGAGCGAGCCCCCATTCTATAAAACCCATGCTTGGGACCAGTAAAAAAGTCCCACAGGTGGGAAGGGTGTATAGTATATACGTCAAGTGACAAAACACGAAAAACAAGTAAGAAAAAAAAGTAGACCTCTTTTTTGTTGTCATCTTCGTCAACGTCCCAAAACTCGCAGAACACATAAATGCAAGCAAAGCCGCCCCGAGGACAGCAGGGGTATCAAAACTCTCTTTCAGTGATGAAGGAGAGGGTTGTGTGGTGTTGTCGTTTCAAGATTATACACATCTTTTGGGGGGGAAAGTTGGATTCGAAACTTTTCTGGGCCTCAAACCGAGTTTAAGAGAAGTCGTCGTCTCCATTGCTGACCATTCGGTCGACGCGCTGGACCAGCTCCTTGGTCTCCCGAGCAATTTCGAAAGCAATGGGAGGTAGGGTCTGCGTCCACATCCTCCACTCGCGATCGTTGCGCCCGGTGGCACCGACATCTTGGCCGCGGTCAATGTCCATACCACGATCGCTGGCTTCCAAAAGGCGGTCCCGGCAAGCGACAAGTCTGGTAATCATGCTGCCATTGCCAGATGCCTCGGTTTCGCCAATGACCTTGTCGACAACCTCTACGATGCCGTTGATCTCGGATGTAATCTGGTTGATGGCGGCATCGCTTCGGATGGAGCCGACCAGGTTCTGGATGTTTTGAACCAAGATCGCGGTCTGGTCCTCGAGATAGATCTTGAGATCTTCAGCCCGATTGTCCTGTTGTCGCATAGCGTTACCGTAGCCATTGGCTGGCCCGTTCTGGTTCATGCCTGCGAACCCACCCATCCCGTTCATACCGTTCATACCATTGGCGCCCCGGGCTTGGTTGTAGGCGTCCGCAGACTGGCGAGGGGAGTTGATGGGGCTGTAAGCGGAGGAGTCCATACTGGTTCGGCCACCGCCAAGCCCACGAAAAGGTGCAGGTGCCTGTCCCAATGGCGGCAAAGACTCCTGGATGATCGACTCCTGTCTCGAGGCCGTTCTAGGGGAGAAGAAACCGGTCGAGTCAACGGGAGTGATTGTGCCGTCATCCTCATCCTCGAGTTCGCCAGCGGGGGTGGATCGAATCTTTGCGACTCGGAGGAGATCGACAATAGCGGCAACCAGGTGAGTGGCGGCGGCGTCGAGGAGGGAAACTGGCGTGATGCCTGCTGATGAGGCAAAGTTCTTGGATGTCGTGATGAGGTGGTTGGCCGTCGAAGAGATCTTGCCCTTGAGCTTGGAACGCTGCTGCGCGAGCTCGTCGTTGGTAGCGACACCCTCGTCGATATCCTTAGTAATTCGGCGAACGCTGACAACGACTTGCTTCATAGCGTCAATGACGGTGTCCGGGTTCTCCGCGCGCGCGCGTTGGAGGAGTTCGTCGATGGCGATCTGGAATTTGGTGACGTGGACATCCTTAACTGCGCCTCCATCCTGTGCAAACCCCTTTTCTCTAATGTACTTTGAGGCATCTTGCTCGACGGTTAGTCCCAGTGAGGAGGCACGCATGCTGCGAAGTTGTGTCTTTGTTCGTGCGTAGCGATTGCGCCAGTCGCGAACCTCTGCTTCCAGCTGCTCGATTGTCTTCTCCAGCTCCTCCTGCTTCTGCCAAGTTGAACCGCTCTGTTGCGAAAGCATCTTCATTTCGCGGAGGAATTCCCGAGCCTCGCGTCGAGCCTCTTCCGTAACCTGTTGCTGCTCCTGTAGAGATTGGCGAAGTTGCTGGTTTTCCATTTGCAGCTCCCTATCTGCATTGCCAGAGTTGGCTGCACCTGCAGCCGCACTAGACAAGCGCAACTCATCCATCTGGTCTCTCAATTGCCGAGATTCGTTAGCGTGTTCGTCCCGCATGCGATCCAGCTCCTGCTTCAACGACGCGTTAAGATCTTGAGCCTCGGCGAGCTTGTTCTCCAGGCCAAGACGCAGGTCGCTAAATTCCTTCTTCTCCATATTCGCGGCTGTTGACCGTGATCTTTCTCCATCCAGAACGCTGTTCAATTCGTCGTCCTTCTTCTTCATGGCATCCTCCATAACGTCAAGCTTTTCCCGCAGATCGCGGACTTGAGTCTGGTATTCGTCCAAAAGCTTCTTGTCGGCCTGTCATAGTTGTTAATGTCTCCACTCGATACGAGAATATTTTGGGTAAAGATCACCTCTGATGCTACCGCGCTCCGCTCCGTGACTTCGCTTCTCTTGCTACGATTAGTCGCGGTTCGTTCGAGGCCGAAAGCTTCCTCGTCTTCGTTCGGGCTGCCATCGTCGTCTTCTTCCACCATTGTACTTTTATTCGGCACGATTGTATTGCTCTGAAATTGTTTTTGCATCGGCCGGTTGTAGTCGCCATTCGGAGGCATACCAGGTGATGGAGGCACTCCGTAAGGGTCGGGCGGTGGTGGTCCCCCTCTCATAGAGCTCGCGTCTGAGGGCCGCCTCATCCGACTTTGACTCCTGGGATAGCCATTCCCGTTGACTGTCGCCTGCGAGCGGACCGATACGGGGCTACCCACTCTAGGGATGTCTCCAGCGGCAAAGCGGGGAAACCTCCTCTCCAGTTCGCAAAAGACGTCAGTTGCAAGATCACGAAAGCGCGGGGGCCCAAGGGATGACAGTTTTTGCCTGGCCTGGTTGCGTTTGGGATGGAAGTTGGATTCGGGCATCAGGTAAGGGGGTGGCCCCTGACCGCCAGGACCCGAAGGTCGGCGACCGAGTGATTGTCTCCGCAAAAGTTCGTCAAAGACATCGGTACTGAGTTCGAGAAACTGGACAGACGATAGGCGCAACAGCTTGTCGCGGGCCTTATTCGGGGGTGTTGGTTTCCCGCCTGAACCGCCATTTAGGTAGTTTTTCAAAGCGACGTAATGCTCGCCCAGTATGCCCTCGGCTTGCTCCTCGCGGATACTTCGTCCGCTCTCGCTCCTCGCATACATATTGGTGCCATTGCTGGATCGGCCGACAGAGGGCGGCGGTGAGGGACCGCCGGCGCTCCGGGGACCGGGGGGGAAATTGCCATTCATGGCTCCGTTGGAGCCTCCTGAATTTGGGGGTGATACGATGTTGCCGCGGTTTTTTGCGTACGGGTCGTCGTTGATGTTCGGGTATTTGCCAACAGACCACTCGCTTCCACCTAGAGAGACAGGTGAGAGAGGCGCATTGCGACCATTCATGGTAGACCTGGGCAAGTTTTGAGGGGGAGTATGTTCGCGCGTAGATGAGCGGCAGGCTGTCGAAAGAACAGAGACGCGGCGCAGCAAACAAAGGGAGTATCGAAATCGAGAAGGAGGCCTAGGTCGAGGTCGAGTTCGAGGGTCGGGTCTTTCAATTCGGTCGGGGATAGTAGCAGCTGAACGGTTTTTCTTCTCCTCCTTCGTACTACACACTCGCCTGACGTGTGGGACAGAATGCTAATCCAATCAGGTATACGCTCGTACCCAAAACCAAGGCGGAAACCCAAAAGCCAACCTAAATACGTATTGTCGCAGAACCTTTCTCTCGCTTTCTTTATTTGGAGTATGCCGGTTAGAGGTTGGGCGGGTGTGCGAACAGGACTGCGTGCGGTTCAGGTTCAGGTTCAAGAGATGGGGTGGTGAATAAAGAAAGTATTGGAGACGGTCGAGGAATGTGTCGCAGGCTGGTAGTGAGATATTGCGGTAGAGGGGTGGGAAAGGAAGAAAGGGGTTCTTGTTTCTTCCAATCCGTTGTCTTTCAAGCGTCAATGTATGGACAGGCGGCGGATGCGACACGGCATGGCAGGGCGGGAGGATGAAATGTCGTGTCAAAGGGGGATATTCTGACGGTGGTGGATGCAGAGAAAAAGCAAATGCCGCAGAAAAGACGTGGGACAAGATGCAAAGGGCGGCTAGGTGCAGTTGCAGTTGCGGTTGCGGTTGCAGCAGAGACAAAGCGCAAGGCGAATTAGAATAAGGTATCGGTAAGGTAGTGTGGGAAGAAAGGTTGAAAGAGCAACTGGCGACCTTGAAAGTAGAGCAGAAACTCGAGAGCAACGCAAAACAGAGCGCATGCAGCAAGGCAAACGACGTACGGATAGAGAAGCAGAACAAGAGCAGAATCCGCGACGGAGGTGGTGAAGCATGAAACGTCGAGGTGACTGGCTGGGATGCCTCGACCAATGGAACCAATCGATGAAGCGGAAGGAGGAGCTGCTGGGGCCCTGCCGCCCTTGGGGTTGGGTGCAAAAAAAGGGGCGTGGATGGGCGAGTCCAGTGGATTTTGGGGGATGCACTGGGGGGAGGGGGGGGGACTTGGGAGGATCTGGGCCACGAACTACGTTGTGTGGTGTACTTTTGTGGTGTGGTTGCTATGGAAAGATACAAGTAGACAAGTAGAGGACCCGCGAGTCGCTTAGGTACCTACCTTACCATAGGTAGCGGGTAGGTAGGAACCTTTAATGGACTGAACGCACTGATAATGGTTGTGGGCAACATTTGCAGTGGTAATGGACTGCTCTGGGCGCTAGAGCTTGTCCTTACCTTAGCGCTGTCCGCTGTTGCTGGAGGGAACCTACCTCAAGTACCTTACTCCGTACTGTAAAAGGGAAGGACTTGCTAGAAGATACAAGTTACAACCACCCAAGTATCTCGAGGAGGAAGAGGGAGGAACGCACGCACGGCAACCTTAGTGGAAGGGGGAAGGGCGCCGCTGCCGGGAAGGGGTAAGGGGGGTGGAGGAGGGGAAATGACGCTGGAGAACACAGCCCGCCGTTGTCATGTCTTGTCCCTCTTGTAGATATGTACCCTTGGGTGCATCAGACACCCCATCATGGCTGGAGAATGCATCGCGTGGTACTTGCGAAATTGCCCATGATGATATTGCGACTCTCCACCGTGGTTGTGCGATGATCAATCTCTTTTGGGTCACCTCCGGGGATCATGTTGGGGGCCACTTGCCCCAATGTCCATGTTCATACTTCATCGCCCACCAGCAATGATGACTTTTTCTGGACGATCCACGCATAATGGTGGTGATAGTACCGAGTTAGGGGCTTTTTTACCGGTAGATGAGTCCGTACGTTATCACACCGTCCAACTATTCGTCCGTGGCCCAAAGCATACGTACAACCACAGCTACTGATGCGATACCTTCGAAATGGCAGCGTCCCAGCGGATGGAGGGAGCCAGCTCAGACCATCCCAAGCACCAAACACTTGTTTCTTCTTCCCCGTTGGAGGGAGAGACAGGAGCTCAAAGTTATCCCCGTTGTCGGGCCTCATCCTCAAAGACCAACCCAAAGACCAACCCAAAGTTGCACAAGTGACTCAAGTCGAGGTTAGATAAGGCAAGTGCCGTTACATGGACGGGCAGCTCCCACAAAGCCAGAGATCGGTCAAAACAAGCTAACCCTGGTGGATACCGGAAGAGAGAAGCCTATCGCCATGGGCTAAAAGTCTCGTCCTACATGTTCATTTCCAGCTTGGAATGCCCGCGCCGCAGGTCCCTCCGAGTCCCCATCCATCCCCGGTCCGGCTGAATCTCTACAAGACTGAACTGGCCTGGTTAACGTTGCTGGCAGATCGGTGTCCGGCCTGATTGGAAAAGGTCTGCAAAGGGGATAAGACACAATGGTCTTTTGCACGAGACAAATTCAAAGACACGGCACGATTCAAGACATACAGATGAATGTGCGGATATTCTACCCTGGACCCTGACTAACAAGGACTAAACGAGAAATATCCGAATGCCTCCTACTGATAATTATAGAGACGCAGAATCCTGATTCCCATCATCAAGATTGCCCCAACCTTGCTGCGCCATCAGCGTCTTGATGGGTAACTTGGTAAGTGGATTTCACTACCACATTACGCGGGTATTGGCAAGCACAGAATCAGGGTCAGGAACGGTTCATCACTGATGATACTTATACCCATTATTACACAGTATTTCGTAGGGAATTACCATACAGACTGGAGAGTAAACTGAGCTTTTGGAGGTAACCACTGCAACTTTGACGTTGTACGTACCGTCCCGGTAGACCGTGAATGATTCGCGGGTTCATCCACAAATCCTACCTAGAACCGCCCATTCGGCAGCGGCAAGGAAGTGCTCCTTTCTCTCTTGCCTGTCACTGGCAATTGCTGTTATTGCCGAAAAACAGTCTGCAGTCCATGGCTCCTCCCACGTCTCTCAGCTGAAAGATACATTGAATACTGCATTGAGAGACATGTACCTCAAATGACCCTATCCTCTTCTACCTACCTACATCATCATCATTATCACATTGATTCCGTCAATCCATCGGCACATCCATCCCGTCCGCCTCACGTCGACATCCTCCTTCTCTTTGTTGCGGATAATGGACTTTCAGGAACCGGCCCTCATTCATGCAACCCTGCAGGCCCAGATCTCCAGGGCCAATGCAGCCTCCATCACCCCTGAGCAAGTGTTCTACCCATGCCGTGATGGCGCGGCCTTTCCACTACCCATTGGTTCATCACACCTGGCGCGCGCTAGCAGCAAAATTCAAAGGTGGATTTGCTCCAGGGCCCGGCCTGTCACTCGACGGTGGCAGTGTCTGTGGGAAATGGGATAAGAATTGGAGACCACGACAAGGGCCTCACTGAGCTTTGGGCATGGGCATATCCGGACAAGAGACGTGCCTTGCGGCTTGACCTCCCTTCCTTCCCCTTCCCCTGCCCTTACTGACATGGATAGATTTTAAGCATGGTGGAGATGCGATTTGCTTGCATCCTTGCACAAGGGGGTGCCGGGTCCAGCTCGACAGTCGCCTACCTTTTCGAGACGAGTCCTTTCTAAGCCGCGGGATGCTGGCACGCTGGCTGGCGAGCGCGGCAGGACGAGGCATTAGCTTTGCCTCTGCAGCCCCTTGACGAGCTGTCACCGTTGCTTGTCGTCCGTCTCTGCCCTTCAGATTCCGCCCTACGCTGTTATCCGTACGCATGCGGACGTCTCTGACAACCCCAGACTCTTGGCTCAGCCTTTACCAGCTTCTGTGGCCAGACAATCGGGAGACTCTGAGGCAAGCAAGTTGCAAAGCCATGAATCACAACGGAAGAATGCATGTTCAGGAACAGTTCCATCGCGACAACATGCCGTTGCTTGGTGCTCGCTGATGAGCGCTCTCCCATACTTCCAGAACGGGATGTGCCTTGTACGCGTCCCGTTCAGCCGCCGCTACCTCTCTCCCCATACCTGGTTCTTCTGCCCGGACAACCGGTGCGTAAACCTCGCCGGCCCCCATGCAACGTTTTATTGCGCCTAAGATTACATCTCATCTTGCCCGCCCTGCACTTCCTACTTTGGTTCGACAAACACTCTGCTCACCAGAGTCTCGACCGGTCCAGTTCTCTTGGAATCGCAAAGAGGGATCCATTCCTCTACTCTATAGATCCAGATCCCCAATCTGGCACCCATCTCGAAGGCGTCTGCCTCCACTCTTAGGCCAGCTGCCCAGCACCGTTACCGCGCCGCGATCATCCTGCCATCAGTGCTTTCCAGCGCACGCGTGCTCACGGCGACATTTGAATACACACCCTAATTCGGTACCGGTAGCATCTTGTGCTCACTCTCCCGAGCCAGGCGCTCCGGGGTGGGAGAGACCCGGCCACGAGGTGAGGCTCAAAGAGGGACATGTGACATTGCAAGGTACCTTCAGACCGCATAAACCCCTCCCGTTGCCCGACCCGACCACCCTGAGGGCCTGAGACGGGAATGAAGCTTGGCCATGCCATCGCACATTCGACGGGCTGAGATGGCCTCGCCGGGTGTTCGCTGAGTTACACGAGGATTCGCGGATACGATCTTTACGGTACGCGGGCTCGCGTACGCGACCCCCACCGCTCCAAGACTTCCTAGCCCTGGGCTGTCCGGTTCATCCGCCTGCAATCTACGGGTACAGGCTTTGCCAGTTCCCCAGCACGACGAGGCCTGGACAGCCTTCTTGGAGATTGGAATCTGGTGACACCGGAGAACAAATTCTGTTTGGGGCACAGAGTTATCCTAGTTATGACAATGCCATTGTGCGCGCAACTCAGTGCGCCGCGGCGACAGTCAACTGCTGCCGTCTAGCCGGAGGATATTCCGATTACTGTTCTACGCGCAGTGACGCAAGCTGATGAGAAGGTCACTAAAGTCCGGTTCATCACTGAGCGTTAGCAATAGTGCAGCGTATTATTGCCAGGAGGCCACCCCGAAAAGCTTCTAGAAGGCCGTGGGTTCAACGCAACCTCACGGTCCGTGGCATGATGGTCTATTGAATCACACAGATCTCCCGGGCCACCACATATCCCGAACACACACTAACTACGGGATAGTCAAGCCCCCCAGAGTTGGAAGGGCTGCAGGGCCGCCGTTGGAACTTGAAGATATGGGAGGGATCGAGCCCCGGTCACGTTCCAGCGAAAGCACACACACACACACACACACACACACACCCACACCACCATGACGGGTCAACTCGAAGCTTCGTGAAACTTGCCTCGACTAAGGCTAGCTCCGAAACGCGGCATCGATAGCTTAAAGGGACACCAACGACGGTCCAACGGTAACGGCATGCGGGCGTTTGATTGAACTCTCGCGCTTTTGGGGCTCCCAGTCGTAGTCTGCAGGTCCTCTGCGCGACTGTTGGCACAATAAAAGGCAAAGGCAAGTTCGGCACAGCTTATTCGCTCCATAATCAGGATTCAGGGATCGTTTTGCTTGTCTTTGGGGAAGTGTTGTCATTCATTCGTAGTTTGTCTGTGTGTTGAGGGTATCTTATCCCGAACCTGAAGCTCCCTTCCCGGCTGGAGATTCTCCAGTCTCCCTTTCTCATGATTCGCACCTTTGACACGGCCAAGTGAGTTTGCCCGGCTTAAACTTCGCTAGCGGAGCCGCATCTTCCAAGATTCTCTCGCCGCCTCTGTTCTTCGAGCTCGGCTATGGCTTCCGTTCCACGTCGTAACGCGAGAACGATATGCTCAGTT